AAAAAAAACAGAAAAGGGAGATTTTCTTGATTTTTTTCAATGCTTTAGGACGTATTTAGATCATTGGGATTATCAGGTGAAAGGTTTACTACAATTTCCTTGTGACCATCTATGGTCAGTTTGGTTATATTTCCTTGGAAATTATTTACTACATCTAGGTGCACAAATTTATTTGCATACCTTTACAATAATTTTTGGTATTTCAGTATTTCCCATTTGTTATTTCTTGTTTTGAATACGCTTCTGGTTTATTGCACTTAGCCTGGATCTTCTGAATTCATCCACTTTATACTGTGTTTCAGAGTTTCCTCCTTTTCAGGCTGATAGTATTCTCTTGTGTGTATCTATGTACCACCTTTTTGCTTACCTATTCATCTGTTCATGGACACTTACTTGGGTTGTTTCTACCTTCTGGCTCTTGTAATGTAACTTTTTGAGGAGCTGGGCGTGATGGCTCATACCTGTAATCTTAGCACTTTGGGAGGATGTAGTTCAGTGTGAAGGCCCTGGGTTCAGTCCCTGGTGCTGTTCCATGAAAAGAAAAGAAAACATTGAGGAAGTACTACAAGGGCTGTGCCCTTGTAGAGTCCCACTGTAATAGACAGTGGATGGGCCACACTTCTGAACAATCTGATGGCATTCTGGTGTGTTTAATTCTAACGATGGTCCTTGTAGTGAATGCCTTGGGGTTCTGAGTCAACGTTTCTATCTTATCTCCTAGGCCTTTCATATACAGATTCTGGCATCTGTTTTTGAAATGTTTTCTTGGATTATACTTTTAAATATTTGTTCTGTTTCATTGTATTTGTTTTTAGAAGTAGTAATTATGGGACTATCCACTTTCTACTCCAACTTTTTTTTCTCTGGTCCTTTTACTTCTTTATTCACTTTTTTATTCTCTTATTTACTGGCTTTTGTTTAGTTCCCATAATGCTTTCATTTCAGTCTGTTCTTCCTTAGATGTCTTGTCTTGTAATTTAGTGTTAGAAGAGTATCTGAGCATACAGAAGAAGGAATCCATGAACCTGAAGATAGAGCAGTTAAAATGAGGTCTGAGGGGGCCGGGGATTTAGCTCAGTGGTGCTGCTGCCTACCTTGCAAGTACAAGGTTCTGAGTTCAATCCCCAGTACCAAAAGAAAAGAGGTCTGAGGAACTGAGACAAAGGCTCAAGGAAAAGTCACAGAGTGTAAGGGTTCTTCCCCAGACCACTAATTGGACCAACTGTGGGAATCTAGGAAGAGGAGAAGAAAGGGAGGGATTATTTAAAGAAATAATGGCCAGAGCTCTCCAGATTTAATGAGAGACATGAATATGAACACTTAAGATCAATGAAATATAAGTAGGAGAAACCTATCTGAGATACTTAGAATCAAAATATCAAAAGCCAGAGACATTCAAGAGAATTTTGAAGACTGTAAGAAAAACACAGGCCTATGTACAAGGGCTCCTCAGTGGGATTATAAACAGATTTCTCATTAGAAATCCAAGACCAGAAAGCACTGGGTTGATAGAATCAAAGTGCTAAAATAAGAAAACAAAGCTGCCAAAACAATGTTATATCTGGCAAAACCGAGGGAGAAATGAAGACATTCTCAGATAATCAAAAGCTGATGGAGCCAGGTGTGGTGGTGCACGCCTGTAATCCCAGTACTCGGGAGGCTGAGGCAGGAGGATTGCTGTGAGTTCGAGACCAACCTGGGCTACATAGTGAGTTCCAGGTCAGTCTCAACTACACAGTGAGACCCTGTCTTAAAAAACTGGGGGGAAAAAAAAGCTGGTGGAACTTACTCCCATAGACCTAACCCTGTTGAAATTCTAACAAGAATCTTTAAGGTTGAAATGAAAGGATGCCAGTTACTTGAAGCCATAGAAAAAAAACTTCTCTGGGACCAGGGATTTAGCTCATTGGTGCCACCACCTGCCTTGCAAGTGCAAGGACCCAAGTTCGATCCCTGGTACAAAAAACAAAACAACAACAAAAAACCCTTCTCTGCTAAAGGTAAATATATAGGTGGTAATAAGTAACTTTTTTTCTGCATGCCTCAAGGGAATGTTGTATTAAAAACAAAACAAAACAGTAATCAGTTTTTGGTTTTGACCACACAGTGCACAAAGGTGAGACTTGTGATGCCAGGAAGTGAACAAAGATGAGGAAAGAGCTATAGAGGAACAGAGTTTTTGAATGCTGTTGAAGTTCAGCTGATAATAAGTTCAATAGGCTTTGAACTTTAGGATGCTAAATGTAGTCCTTGTCTGTTATCTAGACTATATAAAGAACTCTAAAAAATCAGACCCCCCAAATTTAAAGACCCAATCCAAAAATGGGCATCTGAAATAAATAGACACTTCTCAGATGAAAAAGTAGAAACAGCAAATAAATATATGAAAAAATGCTCAACATCACTGGTCATTTGTGAAATGCAAATTAAAACAATGCTCCATCTCCAGAAAGAATGACTGTCATCAAAAAACAACCAATAACAAATGCTAGAGGAGCTG